ATCCTTAGGGCAACTCAAATTCAGCGATTAGGAATTGGAGTTCAAGAATTTGAATCTTGAGCTTAGCTTCGATTTCCCAATAGATAACTGATGTAAAACATTTTTAGTTCACAAGAGTTGTCATTAGTAACAGTCACACCCCATTTGGGTTGTATTTTGGCTATATTCACCATTGGTATTATATGGCCTTTTGCCATGTGTAGAAACAAGACAATTTTAAGGTTTGTGGATGGGGTAGCCATTGTCGTTTTAGATGTTGGCTTTGGTGGTTTCTTTTGAAAGAATGAAAATATACAATACAAACGTCAAAAAGTTTGTATTGTTCGCTTTGTAATTTCCAAAAAATAAAGACACTATGTTAGCATATCATAATCCTAATTCCTTTTATTTAACAAAAATAGTATATATATATATATATATATATATATATATATATATATATATATATATATATATATATATATATATATATATAAAGCGGCGGGGCGTGTAAATTCTTTCGGTGATATGTTTCCTCTACAAAAATGTTATGTTATAAAAGAAAGTACATGTCGAAGACAAAATAATCAAACTATGGTGTTATTTGGGAGATGAAGTCATTTTTTGTTCCTGGACGGTGGCTTTATAGCAGAGGAGAGAACAAAGAGGTATATGCGATTGGAGGGATATTTGAATCAACATGCTAAATTTAAGGATATCTAAAAGGGTTCAAATTGCTGAGAAATATAAGGAGATTCGATGATAAATTTTTATATTCAAAATGTGGTTAAAATTTAATATTATTTTATTAATGGTTACTTGTACTATCAGCTTCATCATTTGGACGTCTTAAAAAAATATTATTATTATAATCAATCTATTTTTAGAAATAGTTAGATTTCTTTTATATATATATATATATATATATATATATATATATATATATATATATATATATATATATATATATATATATATAATATATATATATATATATATATATATATAACCTTAACTTTGTATGGGTGGGCCAAGGCCCGCTCTTGCCCTATATTAACTACGTCCCCGAACAAGAGAACTCGTTTTTTTATCCATTCATGTTCGTTCGTTTGACTATTTTAAACGAACAAACATGAATAAGCTCATGTTCGTATTCATTTGATCCATTTATAGTCATACTAAATAATAATAAAATAAAGATAAGTTGCAAAAATTTTGAAAAATATTACAAAATTGATCGTATCTAAAATATCAATAGTGATGATTTGTTTAACTACCGATTGAACATAATTAAGCCAATTGAATATTATATTTATCAAAAAGGATATATTTATTCAATTTTTTGTCGAGCATACGTAATATTGTTGACTGTTCACATTACAGTTGCATCGATAAGTAAAAAAAAATAGGGGTGAATATTTGACCCGATGAAACCAGACAAGATAGGAAATAAAATCAGGAACTGAAATTGAACCAAAACTGAAACCGAGATATTCAATGTGTTCCCGGTTCACCTTTTTCACAACATCTCTTCCCGGTTCTTCAGTTCTTGGTCTGCTTTCAAAACCGAACACATTCCTAAAGAGCACACTTCTTTGCACAACCAAACCGAAGAAACCAGGTTATTTGGTCCGGTTCCCAATTCTCTATTTTCTACAAAATCGGTTATTGGTCCCCAATCAGAAAAAGGTTTTTCAAAACTAAAACCGTTAATAATCTTATCTACAATCTATCATGTATTAAGAAAGATTAAATATTTTGTCTTTAATTGCAAACCATCGAGAATTAGTTTATTGAAAATATAATGATTAAAATGTAATATATGAATTTGCTTTTTTTTTTTTTTTTTTTTTAATTTTTTTTATGCTTTCTAAATATAATAAGTCGATCTTTATAAAATAGTAATTCATATTTAAGTTTAAAAAGAAATTGTAACAATTTCAATTTATTACAATCTACAACCAAGACCATATATGATGTTTAAGTAGAGAATCTATAAGATTTTATCTTTGCAATTTAGCGATACGATATTTACTTAATGATATTTTTATAAGACCATAAGATATATATGAAAAAAGTCTTTCACTTTTTAAGTGTCACGTTAGTTTTTTCTCGCTCTCTTTCCCCTCATCGAAAATCAGGAAATGATCATCTTTCACTACCTTTAACTATATTTTATTTTTTTTAATTTTTTCTAAAAAGTATATTTATATAAATATTATATTTATTTTGTAAAGAATTAAAAACAATGAATTTTGATATTTTTTAATACATTTTTAGTAAAAATATAATTTAATAAATATTAAAAAAAACAACCAATCACATTAAAAAAAAGTGCAGGATAAATACCCAACATTGAGCATTCTAAAGAATAGTTTTGGGAAAATGATTTAAAAAGGTAATGAAGTTTAACAAATGTACAAAAAATACCATTGTTTTATTTTTAGTACTGAAAATACCATTAAAGTATATTTTTTATACACAAAATACCAATGAAATACATATGTGTTCAAATAAAACCTTGTGGGTAACCTATAATAGCCGGTAAAATGGTATTTTGTGTACAAAAAAAACAAACAATGGTCTTTTTTGTACATTTTTGAAACTTAGTTACCTTTTTAAGTCATTTTCCCTTCTTTGAATGTAATGGAAATTTAGCTACTTTTTATAAATAACCCTTTATGTCACTTCGGCCACTACTGTTCTTCATCGCCACCCTCCACCACCAATGCAAAACTCTTTTTCTTGTTCTTCCTCCTAATCATTTGCCTACTTTCATCAACGCCGGAATCTCGCTGGCTACCTCCATTTCTCGGCAAATCCCCACGGCTTCTCAAAACCCAAAACATTCTTGTTCAGCCGAAGTACACTTACGAGACACGATACTTTGATCAGACTCTTGATCATTTCAGCTTCAATGATCTTCCCAAGTTCTAACAACGTTATCTTATCAACTCCGATCACTGGGTGGGCCCAAGCCCTAATCAGTTGGGCCTAATCTTCCTTTATTGCGGCAATGAAGGCGACATCAAATGGGTCTGTAACACGTAAATTTCAAAACAATTTTTCGCATTTTATAAAAACATAATTCATTTAATATTCGTAAAAACACCCATGTTTGAAATACAATTCATGTCATACAAAAATCCCAAGATCTCATAACATAAAATCCCGAGTATGTGTACTGATCAAGCCGGCGCCTTCCCACGGTCGTCACTAGTACCTGAAACAAATAACACCAAACACTGTAAGCACAAAGCTTAATGAGTTCCCCAAAATACCACATATAACACATATTAGCCACTCGAGGCTATAACTCTGTGGGTCCGTGCACCCAAACTCTGTGAACCCTCAGGTTCTAACTCTGTAAACATGCACAACATAAATCACATAGAATAATGCAGTGCAACACATAACACATATATAGCATACAAGCACTGTATCACATAACTCTAGTTACCTACTCAAGGTAAAGTATAGTGAGAAGACTCACCTCGTGTATCTCGATAACTCGCAAATCCCTGGAATCACTCGTGCTCGATCCCCCGCAGCTATAATCTTCCTATAATACAATATATCTCTAATTAACACTTTTACAACTAAGGTTGACTAACCCTATCAAGTCAACACTGGTCAACTCTGGTCAACGGTCAACTTTGACCGGACTCGGCGAGTGCACCAAAGCGACTCGGCGAGTCTATACGCGTTCACTGACTCCCTCGGATCCTCTCTTGGCACGTCGAGTACTTCCCTAACTCGACGAGTTCCACCTGGCATGAATCGCAGGGCAACCACGACTCAACTCGCCGAGTCTCAAGAACAACTCGGCGAGTTCCGGCTTGACTCAACCCCATATTGACTCTCCCTGACTCACTGGGTTATCCCCCAACCCGGCGAGTCCACTCGCTGAACACTTTACGTGAAACCCCAACCCTACTCGCCGAGTCCCAAGAACAACTCGGCGAGTTCATGCCATGCACAAACTTTATTGACCTTCTGAGGTCAGATCTGCTTTCCCAAACCATAGATCTGGCCTTCCCAAGCATGAATGTCACGTAAAGTTCGAAACTTGATGCTTGTATAACCCCCACAAGGCATCAAAAGGAGATTTGGTCCCAAAAATAACCACCTAGGTCCAATGACTCCATAATAACCCAAAAAGCTCCAATGGTTAAGGTCTCTGGACCTCTTTGAGTCCAGATCCAAGGCACAAACTCGAAGAGGGACCATTTGCTTCACATAATCACTCTCCAAAGGGGTTATAAAACCCTAACTCTAAAGATCAACCCTATAACTGAAGGAGATTCGAACCATTACCTCAAAATGAAGCCTCTGGACTCTGGATATGCTGAAATCTCACATCCTCCTTGCTCTTGCCACCTTCCTCTTGCTAAACAAAGAATACAAAGGCCCAAAAGTCACTTACTCTCTCCCAAAACGAATTAGCTCTCCTAGGGTTCTCTCAAGGGACTGGTAGCCGCAATGGGAGGCTATAAGTGCCCTTAAATAGGCTCCAAACCCGGGGAATTAGGGTTTCATTAAATAGCGTGGACTCGCCGAGTCCACTCCTTGGACTCGGAGTCCAGACGCGAACCTTGTCCAAAATCGCGATCCTACTCGGCGAGTTTGAGCTCCAACTCGCCGAGTCTCCTCACAAAATACCAAAAATGAAAGAATGAATAATACCTAGGAATCCGCGCTGTTACAGGTTTGCTGCCACCACCGACTTCATTTGGGAACTCGCCCCTCGTTTTGGTGTCATGGTCATCTTCCCCGAAGTAAAAGCCCTAATCACTATACTCTACATTAATTTCTTCACTTGCAGACCTTTAATAATACAATTTTATCAAAAGCTGCGTGATTTGATCTAGCATCGATATTATGGTGAATCGATGCCATATGGAAGCCAGAAAGAGGCATACAAGAACGCTTCTACTTTAGCCTATCTAACAGTCGAACAAGCACTTGCTGATTACGCTCTTCTCATCACGCATTTGAAGAGAAATTTGTCAGTTGAAGAGTCACCTGTAATCTTGTTCAGCGGATCATACGGTGGAAGTAAGATTTTTGCCAACAATTTCAATAAAAATTAAACAATCTCATCAAACAAGCACTTGCTGATTACACTCTTCTCATCCCATTTACCTGACGTACCTAGTTACTACAATATTTAGTTGAACACATGTGTATTTTGTTGGTATTGTGTACAAATAGTAACATTAATGATATTTTTTGTACTAAAAAAACAACAATGATATTTTTTGAACATTTGAAAACCGAATAACCTATAATACCCGATAAAATGGTATTTTGTGTAAAAAAAAAAACAATAATGGTATTTTTTATATACTTTTAAAACTTCTTTACCTTTTTAAATAATTTTCCCAATAGTTTTTCATGGGCCTAGATTTCCGTTAACATCCGGCTGGTGTTATGATTTTAAAATGAAAAACACTAATTAATAAGACTCGTTTGCACAATCAATGAGTGATCGATTTGCCGACAGCAAATATCTGTCGCTATCTTGACTATGAGAAAGTGTGTTTTTCTAAAATTAAAAAAAAAAAAAAAAAAAAAAAATTCACCACTATCATTTTAAAAAGTTGTTTTTATTTTAACGTCAAAAATAAAGAAAAAAATATGTTTTTTTGATTGCTTTACATCAAACGGAAGAAGAGAAAAACAAACAAAAAAAAAACATTTTGGTTTGTACATCTGGACAAGAACACAAAAACAAAAACAAATATTTTTTTTTTTTTTTGTAATATTTGGCTGAAAATTAATCTAGGAGGGCGTGCACCCCTCAAATAATCAAGTTAGGGACAGCCACGATTAATAAAAAATTATATAAATAATAAATCCGTGAGCTTCTACAATTTTTTATATTTTTATATTTTTTATTTTATTCATGAAATGTATTATAAAAGAACTTTACGTATATAATTATTTTAGCAATGATATGAAAATACCGAGCAGAATAAATCTTTGCTACGTTTCTTTTTCCAGAAAATTACAAACGGATAAAACGTCCATAAACTAGCCATGAAAATTCTGTCGCTATTGGTCGAATTTGATATATTTTGAAATCGAAAATTCATTGTAAGAATTCTATCACTATATTACGACAGATCATATCTATTAGCGACCAATGAAATTCAAAAAAAAAAAAAAAAAAAAAAAAAAAAAAAAAAAAACTCGTTTTGGAAGACCACGAAGATGTAAACTTGCACCTAGTGACCTAACATCAATCTAGATCTTCAAATGACACTAAATTCATAACCATAGTGTTCCTCCCCTTGAAACAATTTGTTACCAATTAATTAATAACCCAAAAAAACATGGTGTAAAAGCTATTATGACTACATAATACCTTGAAACGGTTTATTGTTCTTGGCTACTTCTTCACTAATTTCTTGAATCATCGACGTCATGTTGTTGTGAGAGGAACCCCCTTCCTCCATTGCTCTCTTTGACATTTCCCCAAGCTCTTTAGCTCTCTTTCTTCTTGCCTTTCCTTCTTCATCATCATTCATTAAACCTTCCACAGCTATCTTCACATCTTCCCTCTTAACCATCACTTTCAAGTTATCTCTCTCCCCAAAAGAAACAGGAACCTCCGCACCAATTCTCACTCCAATCTTCAACACGTCTGTGATAAATCGTTCATTTAGGAATTGGTCAGCAAAATGAGGCCATGTAACCATTGGAATCCCATTAGAGATCCCTTCTAGAGTCGAGTTCCACCCACAATGCGTTATGAAACCCCCAACCGCTGCATGTGAGAGTATCAAGATTTGTGGTGCCCAACCAAACACCATTAAACCTCTATCTTTGATCCTTTCTTCATATGCTTCTTCCAAGAGCCATCTCTTTAGTTCCTCGTTTGTCTCTCTAATGAACCAAATAAACGGTTTGTTCGATAACTCCAATCCCAATCCAAGCTCAATGACTTGCTCTGTGGAAGCATACGATAGACTCCCTAAGCAAACGTAGACTACAGAACCTGGTTCTCTTAAATCCAGCCACTTCAAGCAATCATGTTCGTTAATGGAAGCTTTGCTACCTCTTTCGGCTACATCTAGGAAACTTCTGTTACATAACGAAACCGGTCCAATACACCACACCTTTTTATCTTTCGCCTTCGCGAATTCTTCAACATACTTGGGCTCTAACTCATCGAAGCTATTCACGACAATCCCATATGCAGCTTTTCCAGCTTCTTCTATACGTTGAAACATCTCCATCCTTTCTTTTGAGTCTCTTTTTGGCCAATCAGAAGCCTGGGGTTTGGTAACTTCGATCCGGTCAGGCAAACCGGGCAGCACAAAGTACTCAGAGTCGGATTTGATTTCATCAAGTATTCTAGTGTTCGCTACTATGTGTATGCATAGATACGTGTAGCATCCTGGTCCATAGAAAACAAGTCTAGGAATATTTAACCTCTTAGCCAGACCTGTCGTCCATGGTAAACCGCTATCTGAGATGATGCAACTTGGAGCAGGAGTTAAACGCTGGAGCATGCTTTCAGTTGGTTCTTCTAACATGGCAATGGCGTCGAAAAACTTGACCACTAGTGCAGTTGATGGAATCAAGTCAAAACTCTCGCATCCTTCAGGCAACCCAACTTCAGCTAAAGGGAGTTTGAGTTCAAGAACTTGAATCTTGAGGTTAGATTTGATTGCACGATCTGTGACTGATTTATAACGGTTGGCGTTAAGTGGAGTTGTGATTATAGTGACAAGAACACCGCGTTGGGCTAGCATTCGGGCAATGTCCACCATGGGTATCATATGGCCTTGGGCCATTAGAGGGAACAAGATAAAGTGAAGGTCGGAAGAAGGGGAAGCCATTGGAGTACAAGAATGTGGTTTTGGATGATTGTTTGTAGAACTACTTGAGGGATCTATTCAAATTGGCTCAAATAACATGTGAAGTGTTGTAAGTGTTTGCCACGTGTCATAATCTGTGTGATTTGCAAAAACCAAGACCCTTCAAGATTGACGTTATGTTCTAGATTGCAACTAGCAAATAACTTCATGTAAAGAAAATTATGTTAAAAATTGGGTATGAAAACAGTCATCTGGGTTTTTGGATTTTTGATGGATCGTGTAACTTTAGTATTCTCCGTGATTGATATTTCTATCATGAGGTGTAGGAAATCCAATCATCCATTAAAGTCACTTTCTAATTCGGGTCACGAAAAAAAAAAAGCAATGTTAATGGAGAGAATAGAAGTATTAAAAACCCTTAAGAGTGACAAAAATAAGGTATTATGAGTAAATTGCACCATCAAACTTATATTAAATCACAATTTAAATGTCATTAAATAATAATTACTCATATTAATTCCACTTATAGTAATTATACATGTGATACTATATATTATCACCAACAAAATTTGTGGGAAAAAAATCTAATTTCTAAGAAACCTAACCTTTAATACGTACCAAGTCATGTTTGTGGATAGACATCGAAAACGTCTTGACTAGTTAGTATGAAAAACGGAAGTGAGTTCCAAAAAACTAGTATTTTGTTGGAAAGAAAATAGGGAGATGTTGATGATCATACATTTGATAGTTGTAGGATTGTAATTACTTTGCCTGAAAACTATTTGATTCATATGTCTAGGCACAAGAAATTAAACGTGTACTAGATTAGCATGTTAATTGTTTCGTACTCTTAGGAATGTCAAAAAAATAAACTAGTACTACAGAACCTGTTTTTTGGGGGAATGTTTTTTTTTTTTGGGTGCTGTGGAAGCTTATAAAAATCATTTGTAATGAGGAAAAAGAAACATGTGATCAGATTCTAATCAACTGCAGATTTGCGATAGAGGCCCAAAAACGGATTCTAAAGTGGTGTGAAATACCAAATACTCGATTCAATAGTGTGGCAGATCTCCTTAATTTTGTGGCGAACTAGGAAAGCTGTCCACCAAGAAAGAAAGGATTAACTCAGTTTTTTATGGACTATTATGGTTCATATGGGTGGGGCAAGAAACAACAGAATATTTAAACAAAGAAGAATGTGCCCTACAAAAGTGGTGGATGAAGTGATTTCCCTATATTGGTTCAAATATAGAACTAAAGGTGTGAAAGCTACGTGTATTGAGTGGAGCATATCTCCTTTTGTCTAAATTTATGTATTTTAAGCTTATCCTCTCGTCTTCTTGCTAATCATGTAGATGTTGTTATTTATAAAATATTTGTTGATTTAAAAAAAAAATTAAAGCAATTTGGTATCAATAAGCCAATAAATTGCATGATTTAAAACGTTTGTCGGTGCAATTTCCCTATAATCATAGTAAATACATTAAAAATGCATTTATTTGTGCGTTAGTTTAAACCGACACTTAAATCAATAAACTCATCAAAAAATCATGTGGAACAGCACCATTTAATCTTGGGAAAATAACTTATATGGGTAATTATGTTTCAAAATCGTTCAAAAAATATCATTCAAGTTTGGTGTGTCCAAAAAACACCATCCAAGTAAAGCATTTGTACAAAAAACATCAACGAAGTACATTCTTTGTTCAAATTTGACTTTTGGTAATCGACAATTACCAGTAAAAAATAAGAAAAGGAAAAAAAAAAAAAAAAAGGAAATGACTAAAAGAGGTAACTATGTTTCAAAATCATTCAAAAAACACCATCCAAGTTTGGTATGTTCAGAAAACATCATCCAAGTAAATTTTTTGTACAAAAAACACCAACAAACTATATGTTTTATTCAAATATTACCCACCTGTAATTGGCTCTTAAAGGTTAAATGATAACTTGGCTTAACTATTATGACATGATATAATAATGATTGAGAGAACAATAAATGATATATTCCTCCTTTAAAAACCGATTTAGGATTTCTTTATGAACGAATAACTTCTTCTTCTACTATGATTTCTCTTCTTCTTCTAAAGTGATGATCTCGAACTCAAGTCTAAAACCCTAACTCTTAACATAGGCAAAAAGGGCACTTTTACCCCTGCCTCAATGGGCCTCCTTCCCCTAAGGCCCATTTCCATAAAAACCCAAAAAGGCATCCAAGCCCAATTACAAGGCATCTAAGGCCTAATATGGCCCAAGAACCCCCAACATGGCCTTAAGCCCAAAAAATGACTTGCTACAATCAGGTGGGCCCGATGCCTAACTTAAACAAGTCTGTGCATAGTCTCATCATATGTTGAAGCCTCTGCGATCTGGATGTCGAGCCAGTATGCCCAACGTACTCCTAGCGTACGCCCAACGTACTCGGCTAGGGTTAAGCACCGCCAATCTTCTGAAGGCCATAACTTCTTCATTCTAAGTGTGATTTCGTCATTCTTTATATCTATGGGAGCTAATTTAGGCATCAGACAGCCATATTGAGGGTTATGGCCTTCAGATTGCAATTCTTAGTGGTACCTTAATGCTAAATTAGATTTCGTCATTCCAAGGTCCAACCGAGGGTAGGGACCGAGTGTTCGGTTTGTGTTTGAGCCCATTGGCATATCAGTAAGTATCAGTTCGAGCCTTTATGAAGTTTGGGTTTATGTTACAAAAGTTTTATGGCAAGGGAGAGTTGATAGTATTGTAGAGCTTCTCATTTCCTTCACATGGATATAAAGAACGAAATTGGACTTAGAATGAATAAGTTATGGCCTTCAGAAGATTGGCGGTTCTTGAGCCTAGACGAGTACGATAGGCATACGTAGGAGTACATCGGGCGTACTTGCATAAAATCCAAATCGCAGAGGCTTCAGCATATGTTAGGCGTATGAATGGACCTGTTTAAGTTAGGCATCAGGCCCACCTGATTGTACCAGGTCATTTTTTAGGCTTAAGGCCATATTGGGGGGTTCTTGGGCCATAATAGGCCTTAGATGCCTTGTAGTTGGGCTTGGATGCCTTTTCGGCTTTTTATGGATTTGGACCTTAGGGGGAGGGAGACCCATTGAGGCAGGGGTAAAGGAGCCCTTTTTGCCTTAAGTTAAGAGTTAGGGTTTTGGACTTGAGTTCGAGATCATCACTTTAGAAGAAGAAGAGCAATCATAGGAGAAGAAGAAGTTATTCGTTTATGAAGAAACCCTAAATCGGATTTTAAAAAAGTAATATATCATTTATTGTTTTGTCAATCATTATTATGACATGTCATATTTGTTAAGCAAGTTATTATTTAACCTGTAAGAACCAATTACCGGTGGTTAATATTTGAACAAAACATTGTTGGTGTTTTTGTATAAAAAGTTTACTTTGATGATGTTTTTTGAACATACCAAACTTGGATTGTGTTTTTTTGAACAATTTTGAAATATAGTTACCTATTTGAGTCATTTCTTATTGTTTTTTTTTCCTTTACTTATTTTTTACCGGTAGTTGTCGATTACCAAATGTCAAATTTGAACAAAGAATGTACTTCGTTGGTGTTTTTTGTACAAATGTTTTACTTGGATGGTGTTTTTTGGACACACCAAACTTAAATGGTATTTTTTGAACGATTTTAAAACATAGTTACCCATATAAGTCATTTTCCCTTTAATCTTACTTTTAAAAAGTCTGTTCAAAATTTTAATTTCACAATAGATCTCTCCAAATTTACAAATATCTCTCCCAAATCTTCTTTTTCTAATTTTTCATTCACGTTTACACATAGAAATCCAAAGTTAACACAACCTCTTGTTTACCACTATTTTAAGCACCATCACTTAGACCCTCATCACTACCTTTTGTCTAGTTCCTAATGTTAGTTAATCAATCGGTTTTCATTTTAACCTTGCATATCGACTTAAGTCTTACTCCTTGGTTAAATGTAAGCAGGAACTATTTTAGCATCTTTCGAGTTCTTTGGAACCCAACATTAACGTTAATGATTCATAAGAGGAGGAACCAGGTGAAATGCTTTATTATGTCTATCTTTTCGTTACTTTATTTATTTATTTATTTTTGTGGCTAAAAATCTTATAATATATAAGAATTGAAGTTGTGTAGGTGAAAATGATGGATCTGAGTGTAGGAACATATTCAAGGAGAAAAGACTCACCGCTAATTGTAGGGAAATTTACGATTTGTAGTGGAGATTTGGATACCAACTTAGATCGTGATATTACTTTCCGAAGTGATATTTCTACCCTATGTCTGGGTTACAAGAAATTCAGCCTAGGATAATCCAAGTGAACGCTTACGTTTTTAGGCATATAAAATGTAAGCCAATATGCTAGAGGATTTTGTGAAAGTATGATGCAAAACGAGAGCTTAAGATCGTAACCCCCTTCTTTAGAAGAAGAGTTGTTTATATATTAAACAAGATTAGGGTTTCATTAGGGTTGGACCGTCATTAGGTGCTTTGGAAGCAAGTAATGTTAATCCAGATTTAATGAGGATTTAGGCTTACCAAAACTAACGAGTTTCATTAGTTTTACTCATAATCACTCTCAAGAAATTGAATTTTCCATTATGTTCTCATAAGTAAAATTTGGTGAGGTTTTGGGGCGCTGCCCCTCGACCCCGCCCACTAACATGGCAGCGGGACCCCAGTCAGGGACTCTGCCCCTTGGACCCCGCTAGGGGCGCTGCCCCTTTGGAAACCCTCGACCCCTAACTAGTCGTCGAAGCGGCTTCTATTTCGATCTTATATATGCGTGCACTCCGCACAACCCCGTACATATATTAGAGTACAAATTATAAATCCCTTTAGCTCACATGTTAGTTCCAGTTACTTAAAATGATATGGTGACACTAAAATCGTCAACACCTATTAATCGTCAACACCTATTAGTGATGTACATCCTTTTTCATTTGAGTGGTAAAAATAAACCATCAATAAAACTTGAAACATATTAAAGAAGATAGCCACCTCTCCAGCTCTCCTGCATTAATCCTGAAGAACATCGTCTATGGAGGTTTAATGGAGGTGATTGCAAGTTTAATTGATGCTGTTATAATCATTTTTGGTACGATTCTAAGCAATATTTTTTTGGTGCAGTTTTCATCTTTTTTGGTACGGTTTTATAACAACACCATTAAATAGGGGTATTTTTTATATCCATATACCACTTGATCATTTTAACTGCATCAACAAGTGATCATTTTAACTGCATCATCAAAGTTGCATTAGATTACAGTGTTGGTCTATCTAAAGTTTTATATACTATCCAACCTTGATATCTAAGTTATCTATTATATATCACTACTATGTTATGCGGATGATTCCCCAATAATCTTTTTAAAAGACGATCCTACAATACGTATATTTTAAAATATTTTATAACGTTATATGCAAGAATGTGAAAATTAAGAAAATTATAATTATTTTCGTGCATTCCCTAAAAAGGATTTGTGGTAATAGTGCATATAATTGGAGAAGAAATCTTTACACCTCAACCAACCTTGGGAATAAATGATATTAGAAACATACGAGCAACTACAATTAATGCAATATAATCTTTGTATATATGGTCCTTGTTTATATATAGCTCATTATTATCAATCCTCACTACATACAAAATGCATGAAAGTTGATTTAATTTAACTACGTGAATGTCCATGTCAGCAAATACATTCAAACGAAAATGAAATTTCCTAGCATGCATGTGCATCCCCACGATAAGGATAGAAAACAAAAAGATGCCATTTAGGTCACTGATAAGAAATTTTACGTGTCAAATACTGATACATTAATTTGTTATTTGTCATTTATTAAGACCTCAACCAACAATAAAATGAACCTATCACATATCAACAGCAGTACAAAAACGAGGGCACCCATTTCAATTATGGTTGCTTTTAGCATAATCAAGATTTAACATCTTTCTTGTTTACAAAAAAGACCACAAACATTTTTTATGGGAATTTTGTTACAATGATGGTCCTTACATTTGAAAAAACTTACATGGATAGTCCTTAGTGCTCGGACCAATTGATTTGCAGGTTAAGCTTTGAATATTAACCAACTCTATAAATAACAAAAATAAATTACATATTTGTGAATTATAATGTTTAAACAACTACTAAGAAAAGTATATTAAATTTAATAGTTTATAAAACTATTTAGAAGAATAGTCCTTATCGTTTGTTTTTATTTTATAAACTAAAACCAATCTGAAATCCAATAAAATAATTTAGCTTTGCTGACAACCAATCCAAGCATCCAAATAGACAAAACTGTAAAATTGGTCCTTGTGGTTTGCATAAAATTTTGGATGGGGTCCAAAAAGTTTTTGACTTGCATGGAAGGTCCAAAATCAAAAAATTTCTTTGGTTTTGGTCCTTTAAAATTTGAAAAGACAATTTAACCCTTATTATTATTTTTTTAATTTTCTTTATTTGTTTTAATTGTTTTATAATTAAGAAAAAGCAAAAAATAAAAATAAAAGTAATAGGATGGGTCCACCCCACTTACTCTTTCTCTCTCTCTCTCTCTCTCTCTCTCTCTCTCTCTCTCTCTCTCTCTCTCTCTCTCTCTCTCTCTCTCTCTCTCTCTCTCTCTCTCTCTACATCTTATTCCAGATAGGATCATCTCAACCAAACTCACCAAACCCACCACCACCCAATTCACAAGTCAAAATCAAGCTTCCCACCAAAATCATCTTCAAAGATCATGAAACCATCACAACATTTAACCCCTGTGATCTCATTCAACCCCCCAAGAATAGACTCGGTGGTGGATCCTTAGGCCCACTTTACTAAGTTATCGTCCTACTATGGCTCCATTATCACAATCAGAAAGATCTGTAAAAACATCACCCATGGCAGCAAATTCGAGCACTGGGTTAATATTTCCGGCGCCCTTCGTGGCAACCGGTGGTTGTTGCCGCTCTGATTTGGTTTTTGGTACGGCAGCAAAGCGTTTGTTATTCATGACTACTTATGTTTAGGCAGCTTGGAGGAGTTCCTACATGGTAAGCAATCCCATAATTAAAAACTAAAGTTTCTAAATTTTACCTTTAAGTGATTTCAATTTCGCAAGAAGCGAAGGCGTTCAATTTATGCCGTTAAATTGGGAAATCGGATAGGAAATAGCGCTCGTAGCAACGAAAGCAGTAGCATCGATTCACAATCATGGTCTTCTCAGTGGGGTGATAAAATCATCTAACTTTTTGATTCAAAGCGACTTCTTACCTCGTCTTTCCAGCTTTGAAACGTTTGTGGTCGGAAAGAATGTGTTACACTTTGGGGATTTCTATATTGGAGATTATCACCGAAAAGAAACCTTCGATGCCTAATTTGGGGTAGCATGTAATGGAGAAAAGAAAGAGAGAAGGACTGAAAGGTTTTCCCATTAGATGAGAAAGGAACAAGGGTGGGGAAGATGGTGGGTAGAGAGAGAGAGAGAGAGAGAGAGAGAGAGAGAGAGAGAAGGGGGTTGGGTGAGATTTTAGTTTTTATTTTTTATTTTCAATTATTTAAATACCAAAGAAAATAAAGAAAATAGAAAAAAGAAATAAAAAGGGTAAAATCGTCTTTTTAAGTGCATCAGGGACTAAAAACCTGGAAAAACCTTGATTTTGAACCTTCCATGCAAATCAAAAACTTTTTGGACCCCATCCAAAGTTTTTAACAAACCACAAGGACCAATTTTACAGTTTTGTCATCCAAATATCCTAACAAAATGTTTTGAATACAAATTGTCCACTTAGACAATTCAAATCCAAATAATGAATAGTTTTATATGAAAACAATTGGAAGTGGATTGGGTAGATTTTTCCGCCCATGTCTCCTAGATCTTTTGATGTAATACTTGGTTTACTACCATCCAAGAACAATGTGAAAGGGTCCCTTTAAGAAATTTGCATGAAAGCTAGGAAGATTAAGTGTTGTTATTTATGAGTGGGAAAATGACCTATAAAGATAACATAGTTCTCGTTTTGTATACGTTTAGTGTTTATTGTTTTTTCCTTGTAAAATAAGTTATTTAACTTATTTTTTGTACACATTCAATCCTTATGACTAGCTATTCCAGGTTAAGTTCTCAATTCGTACACATTTAATCCTTTTTTTTTTTTTTTTGCAAAATAAGTCATTATTGTTTGTGTATACATTCTGTCATTATGACCGTTTTTTTTTAGGTTTTTACTAATGTGGCATCCTATGTAGGACAATAATTAATAAGATGTTCTCATAAATGGTTGTTCCCTCACTTATAAAACAAAATAACACCCTGAAAGAAAAGTTTAGAGTCTTTTCTAATTCCATGGTATGTTGATTTTGACCATTTTTTTGCAAATAGTTTTTCTTTTTATTCTTTACAAATTGGCCCCGAATTTCGAAGATGAGTTTACAGTTGTTAAAGAGGAGGTTTCATGTTCTTACGTGTAACCCAAAAGAACTTTATTATTATTAGTAGTAGTAGTAGTATAACCAACTCTTATGAATATGAACACTATTTCTAACAATTGAAATCATTATGGTTTATATATTTCTTCACTTGATGTAATATAGATATTGCTATTGAATAAATTTTATATTGGTATTAAAAATAGTTGGTATTGTACTATCATAATTACTAATATCAATAGTACAGTGTTATTACCAAAACCAGGAGTTCAAAAAAACAAAACAAAGACAAGTAATCCATGATTCCAGTGTTCAGACGAGCCACATATGAAAACACCTTATTAATTATTATCATTAATTATTATCACATATAAGATGTCATTTGTGTTGTCACATATAAAATGTCATTTGTGTGCATGTATGTGTTTGTGTGAGTAGAGAGAGAGAGGTAGGTGGGGTAGGTGATGTTTTTCTTTTTATTTTTTAATAAGAGAAATAAGAAAATAAGTACAAATATTTAAAAAAGAATTATTGAATGATATTTTTGTCATTTTAGGTTTGGATCAAAACCACGTAAAGTATCTAAAATTGAACTACTAATGCATCATCAAAGGTTTTATATTCACACCGATACAGTCATAGCTTTTTAGTGTAGTTGTTTGAAGGACCATATAATGATAAAAAGTCATAAAACTCAAACCAAGTACTCTATAAATAGACCAAACTTAGAGAGTCTGTAATGACAAAACTCAAACCACTTTGGCAAACAGAATAGACAAATTAACATTTGAAACCAACTACCCTATGCATAATATCACAATCCTTACTCCCTAATATACTCTACACATGTTATGATATTCTTAGCATCTATTAGTTTGGATTTAAGGACCACATATTTTATTTAACAAAGTATCTGAATACGCTGGGTGTTGTTTTGATACAGTGTAAATTTGATTATTCCTTTTCACTTTTATATAATTTGATAAATCTAATTCTACTTCTTATTTCTTCATCTTTTAAGGAGAAATATAACCAAATTTAACTTTTTCAACTACTCAGGACACAATCCAGTGCATATAATCAAACAAGAAAAAAAAAAAAAAAAAAAAATCCTTCGTTTTTTTGTTTCCTAAATACAATATAGCAACCAAGTAACAAAAACCATGGTGGGGTGCATAAAGTATGTGATTACTGATATTCTGAAAAAGTACACTCATTGAGGTGGTGGAGGTGGTGGATGCCCTTGAAAACCTTGTGGTGGTGGTGGCGGCATCCCCGGCCTACCACCAGGTGTGAAGTTTTGCATACCACCACCGTAAGATGGAGGAGGTGGTGCAGGGAGGTTGCCACCAGGCGGCATAGGCCGTGGTCCATTTCCCATTGGAGGAGGCGGCGGTGGTGGCAAAGCTCCTTGTGATGAAGGCGGTGGCGGTGGTGGTGCTTGTGGTGGTGGAGCTAGAGGCCGAGGTGGTGGGACTCCAGGAGCTGATGTTCCATTCGTTGTTCCACCTGATTGAGGCTTATTTGTCTCTGGTGGCTTTGTTTTGAAATATAACTGCAACTGTATAATAATAATAATAATCAATAAAAAAAAATGTCACAACTCATAACACTACTGATTCATAAAGAGATGAAGGGCAAAAAGTATTACAGTAAACATTTTGGAATCTGGGTCCCAATGAGAGAAGAACTTAGGGGTAGATTTGTCAATTTCCGTACTGGGAACCTACATTAGGAAATGCCATGTCAGCAGTAGTAGAGTTGAAAGTAATAAAAAAAGATGGAATATAAATACCTTAAATCCGATGATTTCATATGGTTCAGCAGCAAATAAAAGAAACTGATAATTCTTGTCAAAAGATTGCACTCTCTGCATATGAAATATGGCTATGTTATATGCAAGATTTAATTAAAAAAAAAAAATGATTTTAAGAAACTGAGGAATAATAAAAACACAGAATACCTGCTCAAAGGATGACATAAACCGATGTCTTGGTTTTGTAAGATCTTCAATTTCAGGATATTCAATCTGCATTAGCAGAAAATGAAATAAGAAAAATGCATATAACTTGTTACAATCACCAAAGATTAAATAAGTATTGACTTTGGGTGTTTTTGGTCAAAGTTTGGATTTAAAGAAATGGTGATTATATGGGGAATTGAATTACTATGATGAAATTTTGTTAATTACAACTCAAAGGAATGCAAGGTTATGAAATCTACCAACCTTGAAAGTCAAACATCTAAATTGGTAAATTTCAAGAAAGTAACTACATTAGACTTTTATGATCCTAAGTTGCTTGATCTCATGTTCAAAAGTCCATAGATATTGATGATAAAGATAAACAATTCAAATCATTTAAAGACAGTTTCACAATTATCTAAATCTGTAATGTTTTTTGTTAATAGAGCACTGAGAAGAAAAAAAAAAGGCATACCTGGAAGAGCAAAGACCTTTGCTTTGTTTCTGGATCAAATTGTTTTGTCACTCTGTAACCAGGGCGCCCAATTTTAACTACAGAACCATTAAAACGAGTTTAGAGCATGAATCACAAGAAATGTGAAGGAAATTATTGAAGGTGTAGAACTGGAAAGTTATTTGACTGAAAAAACTATGCTCCTGTTCAAGGAATTAGCAAAAGTGATGTTGAATTGAGCTCAAAACATCTAAGGTGTTGTTCAGCACCTGTCTTTCGGAGATTAACTGCACGCTTATGAGGCTGAGGCTGTGCAGGAGCATCTTTCGCCTCGCGAGCAGCTCTCTTCGCCAAATTGGTCTGATGCCTTTTCCCCTGTGTGTGCGCCAAGTAATTCCCCTCATTGTTATGCAGTGTTAAGCATAGCTTGCACTCGTAACTACGAAGGATTGAATTTAAAGACACAAGTACATATTAGCTTTGTTCGTCATTATCAGTTGATCACAAATGTCGCCATGTTTCAAGAGAGATTAGGGTTTACCTTCCAAGGTGATTGCGCATGAAATATGGATCTTTGGCAAGATCGATGGTCTCAAGGGCGAGCCTCCGCAGCCTCTCACGGCGGTCGATGGCTTCGTTTTGGGCTGAGGCGGCGCCACCGCTCCCAGGCTTCGAACCCCATTCTCTATCCATCTTCCTTTGTTTCCGCCTTTGCTTCGTCTATACTGTCTATACTTCTACTAACGGACGGTAGGAATGTAAACTATATATGGTCAAATTTATGAATGTTATGAATTTTTTTTTGGAAAGGCAACTTCCTAACGAGGGTTTTCGGGTCAGTTTTCGCGTACCGATTAATCCCCGCTGCAAACATAAAGCTTTGCCTCATGCCCTGGAGTCACTGCAGACGAACCTCCATGGCCACAAGGACTGAGTGGTGTCAGGATTTGAACATGAGTCAATAGGTTATCCACCATATCTTCCACATGTCTTACCAAATCACCACAACCAAGTGGTTAAATGTTATGAATTTTGAAATCTTAGTAATAGTTTTGTAACAAAATGCATTATTGAATTAAGTGAATTTAATAATGAAATTTTATATTTGAGTAAAAGGTAAAATGAGAAATTTTATAATTTTAAATGACAACTTCATTACGTAATAGATTAAGACCTAGCAATCGTGTCGTGTCGTGTTTGGGTTCGAGTGTTGTGAGTTGGCGAATTGGTGGATCAAAATATGTCAACACAAACACGACCCATTTAAATATACAAGTCACGGGTTGGCGGGTTTGAGATATAAACTCATATATGATCCGCCAACCGATTTATTTATACGGGTTCACAGGTTGTCGGGTTCGTGTGTCAAATTTGGGTTTGTGGGTTAGATTCTATAAATAAAATTGATAATTAAACATGAATGAATTTTTGATAGTTGATGCAAACATATCCGAATTTTAAACACTTAAGTCTTAAACATCCAAATGAAAATTAAAAACATTCATAGAAACGTATTCAAACTAAACATTAATACAAACATTGATAATTCAAGTGCTAAAGTAATAGCCACAATTCCCAATTTTTTCTCCCAAAAAACAAAGTTAATTCTCCAGCACCATTTCGATATCTGATTTCGATCACAGAGTAACAAAGGGGAGAGTGGTACTGTGTGAGACTGGAAGTCTGGAAGAGAGAGATACGCTCATACGCGATTTGATTTTGAGATTATTATTTAGGGCAAATGGGCAAAATGGTTACAGAATTATCCTTATAGGTTATGACTTACGATCTTAGGCCATCCACCACGAGTCAAAATGTCAAAATAGTCAAATGGTCTATGAATCAATGGTATATATATATATATATATATATATATATATATATATATATATATATATATATATATAATACTTATTAAATATTAATACTTGATACATAAATACATTTAAAAATAAAATAATTTTTTTATCAAAAATATAAACGGGTTGGCGGGTCAACCCGTTTATTTTTTGAGAAACTCATATATGACCCGTTTAATAAACGGGTTGGTTGGTTGGCGGGTTGAAAAAATCAACCCAAACCCATTTATTTCGTGTCGCGTCACAAATCGTGTTGCGGGTCGTGTCACAAGTCGTGTCGAGAATTGTCAGCCCTATTTAAGACCCATAAATGTATAGTCAAAAGTGTCTTAATGAAATTGTTAAGCACGTTCCCATCTTCGTGTCTCTGTAAAGTACATGAATTTTGGAGTTAGAATGAAGAAGATATGATAATGCAAATTGCAAAGATAGAAGAAAATAGTGAAAACTTGGAATTTGAAACAAGAATGGAATCAACTGAAATGCAAGTTACACGATGCAAATTAATGGAAGTATGCAACATGTGGAGCCAGTTTTGCTGTAGAATGGTGATGTACATTGTCATTTTCGATTTCGGCAACGTATAATGAGAACATGTCGCGTATGAGTAGGTAATACGTAACACAATGAAAGTAAGATGTTGGAATAACCTATGTACGAACGTGACACGTAAGGTTGGTAGTAGATTGCGTGTAAGACTAATTTGGCGCAACACGGTGAAGTATATTACTATTGTTGGAGTAGGTAATGTATTGTGCTTACACGATACGTAGTTTGAGGGTTACACGATGTGTACCAAAGTTGGTTGCCTAGTTGGTAACAAGTTAAGCGCAACGTGTTCACATTTAATGACGGATGTGATGCATACAAGTCATATAGGTGACACACAAGCTGCGATTCAGATAACGAGAAATAAGAAGAGGGAGGTGATATCTGGAAGAGAATCCTGTTGGATTAGTGTCTAAGTCCATAACTATTTTGGTATGTACTTAACCCGATTGTGCATGGTCCTTTTGGGTTGCCTTCACACTGGTGACTAGACAATATGATTGTTAAGGAGAGAGGTTGGTTTATTGTTAAGAATAATAAATAAGGGTATAAATATGATTTGTTAATATATTATATAAATAATATATTAATTTGGAATCATATTATTAATTAGTATTAATCAGAAATTAATTAGAAATTAATTTCAAGATTAAAGGAATTAATTAAAAGTACATGGGCTGTTTTGTAATTATTTGATAGTTGAGACTTTGGGCTATTTGGATCACCTTTATTAAGGCTTGAACGAAAATCCTAGAAGGATCTAGGAGTTTTCATCCAAGGGCTTAAGGAAAGAAGTCTATGGACTTGCTTAGGCCCTAAGCTAAGGGATTAGGGTTTACACCTTGAAACCCTAGTTAGCCTTAAGTATAAATAGCATCCTAAGGCACTAAGATTTCATCCAACCCTTAAGGAACCCTAAAAGGGACGAAATCTAGGGTAAGATACCCTTCTCTCCTCTCTCCCATATTCATCCTTTCACCTAGTGTGTTTGTGAGCCATTAGAGGTACTACACTTGTGGTAATTGCTTTCAAGAGCTAAGGAAATTCAAGGAACTAGTTGTTATTGCTATATAACAACAAAAGGTATGTATTCTAATTTTATATATGAATTTCGAAAATTATAGTAGCATGCCATGTTTCTTTTTGTGTTCATAAAGTTATATAACTAATGGTGAAAACATAGATCCAACTCTAGGGTTGCATGCACACATAGGATTGTTTGTATAAAACCCATCAAATCCATGGTTAAAGCTTACTTTAAAGGGTTTTGAAGGGGGATTAATCCACTTAATAGGGGTGTGTATGGGGCGGTTTGGTTCGGTTATTGGTCAAAACTGAACCATAACCATTATGATTGGTTAATGCATTTTGGTAGCCATTGGGTATGGTTAATATTGGGTATGGTTAATGGTTTTTGTCAGTTAACGGTTTTGGTTAATGGTTAATATTTGTTAATCATAATGTTCAAAATAATATAAATGACGAAAATATATTAACATAAAAAATGAAAACGGAATACAAAAAAGTCTTCGACGCTAATGTTTGTAATCTAGCTTATAGTAATAAAAAAATATGTACATTTAATACTCAGAGTGAGATAACACATAGTCACATTAAAAATCAAAAAATTCAATAAAAATATAAAACTTTTAAAAAATGTGACATTAATAATTTCAAATATTTATAATTAATATTAACATTAAAATAAAGCCAAACATTCATACACGTTCAATGCGATTAAATAAAAAAAACTATAAAATAAAATAGCCAAACATTTATATTATGTGTTATCTGGATAAAAAAAATTACAATCACTCATATACATTCAATGTGATTAAGTCAAAATATCCTTTGAATAGGTCTATAAAGTCAAAACGATATTTGATTAGGATTAACGGTGGGAGAAACATTCATTTAGGATTATGAATGTGAAGATTAAACTAATTGTGAATAATGTTTGAAAAGTGTAGAATTAGCCGATTAGAAATTACAACATTAAGGAATAATCTAACTATTGGCATGATTAGAAGATTTTTTGTGTCTGCGTGATCAACTTTTGATGGTCTGATTGTTCGTTCGGCTCCTGCTAAGTGAGGATTAATGAATTATATTTTAAAATTTTAATGGGTCTTAAATAAGTTTTACTATATTATTTTATAATTTATATATAATCTATAATTTTTTTATATTAAAATATAAAGTTAGCGGTTCGGTTAATAATGGTTCGGTTAACCTATAAAACCATAACTGAACTGTTAGTTATCGGTTAACAAAAATTAGAAGCCGAACCAACGATTTTTAAAATGGTTCGGTTATTATGGTTCGGTCATATCGGTTAATTTGGTTTTGGTTCGATTTTCCGGATAATATGCTCACCCCTACCACTTAACTTCTAGAAGTGAAATCAAGGTATACTCCTTATCCTTTTCAAGCTCATGTGTTATTCGATGGTGAACTTGGAAGGAGTTTTGATAGACATTGTGATGAATGTTTTGAAATGTTATTATAGAGTAATAGTAAGTGTTTTAATCACAATTTCAAGCTTATTTTGAAAAATCTATGGTGGAATTCATGAATTTCAAGATGGTGAGCTCAAAACCTAATTAGGTGATTTTAGAGTTAATGGGAATTGAGTTTTATGTCTTGATGATTTAAGGCCTCCAGATGAGGTATTCATGGAGCTTAATTTATTTTGTCACAAAAAGTTGAGATAAGAACTTTATATGATCAAATGAGTGATTCTAATGAGGATGGATTAAAATTAAGTTCTTAACAGATATAGGTTATGTTATAAGAACTTAATATGTTGATTGAATAGGGATTAAAGGTGCTCTAGTCAAGAGCACCAAGTGAGGAACAAGGATAGTGGTTAGTCTTAACTAACTACCTAAGGTGGGAACATGTGTATCTTAAAGAGTACACAACAAAGATAGCCTTTTTTATATGAATGTGTTTGATGTGAAGTATTTGATACTTGAATCTCTATGTTCTTATATGAAATGATTTAAGGGCATTACTAGTAGTTTTACTATGAAAGCTTTTGCATGTCATATGTTTATTGAATGATTGTGAACTTTATCTTTTATTTTATCAATGCACTCATAGTTAAGAAATGTTTGGACATATCCATTTAACGGGACGAATGAGACACTATTGTATGGGATGGTACTTCTTGTTGTTTAAGTAGTTGTCAAGAGGTATAGACTAGGGGTGGCAACTCTCAACCCAACCCGTAACCCGAAACTGACCCAACCTGAAAATACACAAGTTTGGGTTGAGATATTTGATCCACCAACCCGTCAACCCGCCAACCCACCAACCCGTTT